AGTTATAATACCCTTGTGCACAAGTGCGCTCGGGTATAAAAATTTGTATACGTATTTTTTCATTATGAAAAGGAGCATTTCCTAATTATCGGGCAACAACCTTTTTCTATTATCAACATAAATGCTACCCAATGTACTAAACACTGTTTCTGAGTTAACTGAGGAAGGTGGTGCGCTGAGATATTTCATTGCCAGTGTAAACAAATTTTGAAATCCTTTGCCACTTCCACCAAATAGAGCTATTTTTAACATATTTGGTTTGTCATCTATATTTCACGAAAGTCACAGATTATTTACACTTATAAACAGCTGGCAACCTCTTTAAATATATTTTCGAAATAAAGCTTTCTTAAACCTCTTTTGTTTATGTTGAAAACATTTTTTAATGTTTCATTTAACTTATTAATTTAATTCAAATTAAGTTGTAAACAGGTGGCAACGCTTTTCACAAATATTTTCGTAACAAAGCTTTCTCACACTTGTTTCGATTGACATACATAACTCGAATTAACTTTTGTAAAAATTGGATTTGACTTTTAAACAGATGGTAACCCTTTTCTAAATATTTTCAACATACAATTTTTTTAAACCTTATTCAATCACAATATGGATGCGAAGTGACACATGTTTAAAAAAATTGTATTACGAAAACATTATGGCGCGTATTCATAGTCCAGCAACTAAGTCGAAACTAACAAAGTTGCAACTTAAATTTAAGTACCAACTTAAAATTTACTTCTATCCATAGTCGCATTTCAGACTTCTACTAAGTAGTTTCGACTTAGTTTACGATATAGCAAAACGAGTGTGAAAAAATCTATCGATTTTTCTTTACGATATTTTGGAAAAATTACATTTTTATTAAATAATATCAAGTTTGATCATCCGTTTATGTAATTTTTATTTTCATTGCATGATTATGCAAAAGAATAAGGTATAATTTTCTTGTTAATTGTGTGAAATAGCCAGAACAACCGCAGTGATGTGAGTCGATGCTTACCGAAAGCATGCTGTGAAACATACAAATAGTAGATATCTAAATGTTATGCACAAATTTACTTTAAAAGAACTAGCGTGAAACTGACTTACTATTTGAGAATTTTTCTAAATTATTCCAATTATAAAATTTTGATGTAGCTTTATTCGAATTGTAATACGCATTTAATTTCATCTTCCGATTAAAATGGATCGATCTTTGTAAATTTTAATTGGAGATTATTCAATATTATCAAAATCACCCTCTACCAACTTAATTTTTACATATTTCGTCTGTTTTCCCTTAATTTGATAAAATACTTCTTCCTAGTTACGACTTAGTTGCAGCTGCAGCCGAAACTAAATTTTAAGTTGGTACTTAGCCAGAAAAGTCGAAACTAAGGCGACTATGAATAGCTTTAGTTGTGACTTAGAATAGTTTCGACTTAGTTGAGTACTAAATATGACTATGAATATGCGCCTATGTAACTAATAGTTTGGTTTTACAATATGGATGGCTACATACCTTTATATAGGTGGCAACACTGGTAATAAAACTTTTTTAAATCTGTGTCACTTCATATCCATATTTTGAAGTTTTGTCGAACTTGTCATTTCAGCTAGAATTTTACATTGTAAGCAGCTGGCAACCCTCCAAAAAATTTGCTATATTTAATACCTGACATAAGCTATCTCACAAACTTTCACATTTATAATATTAGTGGGATTTCATTTAACTTCTCGATGAAGTTGATTTTCTTAAACTGGTGGCAACTCGTCAAAAACATTTTCGAACAAGAGACAGCATTCTTAAAGCATCTCTCGTTTGATACCCATATTAAAGTATTTCGTTTAACTCATTAACTAAATAAATTTTAATTTTTTGAATAGGTGGCAACGCTCTTAAAGAATATTTTCGAAATAAATCGTTCTCCCACCGTTTTCGCCTGACACCTAGATTGTTGTGATACTTTATTTAACCTATTAGTTAATGGATTTTAAATTTTTAACAGAAGGGAGCCCCGGTAAGAAATTTTTTTGGAATAAATGAATATACAATACCTTTCGTTTGAGACCCACAACCGTAGTAATATTTCCAGAACTTATGAAAGTTAAGTTAAAGGGGCCATCCGTTTGTAAATACTTGTTGAATTCTGGGAGAAATGTTAGTCATAACTCGATATTTAGCAACTGAAACAAATTCTTCTTCCACTTCTTCTTCATTGCGAAATCTAATTGTGTTTCATATTCGAAAGAAGTATCGCAAAATTATGAATTCAAAAGTTACATCATGTTCCCTTTTTCCCTTCATTTTTCACGCCTTTTTAATATATTTCACTTTCTTCAATCGACGTTAAAAATAATCTTGAAAATTTTCCAACTTACCGCTCAGTGAATTATGCCCACAACCAGGCGTTTTACCTAGCAGATAATCGTCTTTGCAGATGAATTTATTGTCGTCCAGCACATAAAGTTGTTCACCAGTACTGAGCTGTTTGCGGCAGATGCAACACGTAAAGCAATTGAGGTGGAATACTTTGTCGCGCGGCTTACGTACGAGATCGGAGGGAGCGATGCCTTGACCGCAGCCACTGCATTTTGTGCCGTAACGCCTGTGAAAGAGAAAGTAAAAGATTAAAAATTGTTGTCATAGAAAATGTAGCAACTGTCTGTCGTTAACCTAAGAAATACATATTTTCCCTTTTTCGCATACTAAATTTTGTAGAATTTACAGTAGGACAGCGCTTGTTTGAAAAACTATAAACTACAAGTGCCCTAAAAATGGCTCAGCAGTAGCTAGAAAAATGTATAAAAATATTTATGTACTTGTTCATACACACATACACATGTCTACATGTGTACATAAATACAAATCCAATTGTAGAACGAATTGTTCTTGGATCAATTGGAATCGAATGACCTACAAAGGATATCAGTTATAAATGTTGATTTATGACGACTACACGGCTTCTTGATTACTCTATACCGTTAGCGCTTGCAATAGCACAAAAGTGGGTAAATTTAAAAAAAGAGCGATTTGATAAAAAAAAACTCAAAACAACGTCGCTTAGCGCTCAAAATAAACTTTTAATAACGGTATCTACACACAAGTCTTCAGCACATCTTCACCTACGATCATAGCACAACACATCAAAGCATCACAACATCAAATCAACTCAATCAAAGCTGAATCAAATGCAGTCGTAAAGCAATGATTTTATACAAAAAGTGGAAAAAAGGAGAAAAATAAAATGAAAATACTTAAAATTGTAGAAAAAATAAACTGCCTTGCCTGTCATTGCAGCAAGTAAGTATTGAAGTACGAAAAAAAGAGGAAGTGTTTGCCTGCGAAAAAACGGTTTGAATAAGTGCGCCTGTGTGTGTGTGTGTGTGTGTGTGGCAATCACATTTTAATCGAAGCGAAATGCAAATGAAATTGAACTGAGGTACAATGGACAAAGAAAAAAATGTTGAAGTTCATCAACGACAAAGTGCAGCAGCAACAGCAGCAGCAGTGATTGGAATTTCTGCTGTCTCAATTACAGTCACAAAAACAAATAGAAAATACAACAGCAGCAGCAACAGCATCCTTACTTACACCCAAAGCAGCTAGTACTATGTATAACTGCCGATCATCAGGCACAATCACAGCCAACATGCCACAAACATTACACAGCTTTGTGTTCGTCGTCACCTTACTCCTTTCGCTTGGCCAACAAATCAAAAAATCCGCCAATGACAATGAAAACAAAATCTCAAAGCAATATTTATCTACATAGTATGCGTGGAAATGTATGTAGGTAGATGCCGTTGGGCAGACTGCACTGACGTACATTTAGTTCAGGGATGAATAAAAACGTTTGCACTGATTTATAGCAATGACATCGAGGACGCGTCGACATTGATTAAGTCTGTGAATTAGTGTTGCCAGTTTAGTTATTTCTCCCTAGTTTTAAGGCTATTCCGGGCCATTAGGGAGAACATTAGGCATAAAATGTCTTCAAGAGATTTTATTAGGGATTTTTTCAAATATTAAAATTTAATTTTTTTTTTTTGTTTTAAGAGGAATCAAATGAAAAACTGGCAAATTTTGGAAATTTCGGACCTTAAATTTCGGATATTAAATTTTATTATTTTTTTTTTTTTTGGTTTTAAGAGGAATCAAAAGAAAAGCTGCAAAATTTCAGAACTTTCGGATAGAATTATGTTACATGTAAATACACTGGCGGCAGCAATAATAAACTCGTCGTACTTTGAAGAGTTTTGACCATATTTCTTTAGTTTATTTTATGTTTAATATTTTTTTATAAAAGCCCAGGTTGTTATACAACAAACATCATATAAATCCGCTTTTCAAACTTTGAAGAAAAACTATATAAATTCGACAAATTTTCAAACTTGTTATTCAGAATAAAGTTAGAATTACTTTTGACAATTTTTTTTGATGACGAAAAATTGTCGAGCACATTTTGTATGGGAAAAATGCGTTATACCATCAGCAAAAAAAGATCTTAAAAATCAACGGTATTTTGTAACCAAAGAAACTTGCACTTTATTATACTAAAATTGAAAGTGCTGGTGGGAGTTAGGATTACACCGCAATGGACACTTTTGTAGAACTTTCAATTCTGAAGATAACCCATCATTGACCATGATTATACCATAAAATTCGTCTGAGATATAGAATTTTGAAGAAAAACAATCAAAGTTTACGTGTATTTTGTATGGGAAATCTTTTCACGCCTTGGGCGAGTACTTAATGTTAATATTAAGAGTTAAAATGTTCAGGATTTTTTTTAGGTGTTTTCCACAAAATTTCCAGGTAGGAGTGAAAAAACTTTATTGATTAACGCCCAACGCTACTAGATACCCGAGGGACTAGTATCTAGCAACCTTGTACACCTACAAACTATATACGTATATATGTATTTAGGGGTTTTTAGGGAGAAATGAAATAACTTTAGGTTGAATTTATATGGATCATCTGGCAACACTGCTGTGAATGAGTGCTACATAACGACTGATGAAGTGACAGACTCCACCTGCGCGGCGCATTCATTTGTGCAACAACATTAATTGGAATTTGCAAGCGAAAAAATGAAAAAAAAAACAAATTAAAGTTAATTGCAAGTATGTACTCGTAAAATAAAGTGTGCTGCAACAGCACTGGCTGGCTACGTGGCAACTAACCTTTAAAAGCTAAGCGAAGTGATTTGCAACTAAGCAAAAATAGCGCGCAAATTCCGCTTGTTGTAGGTGTCCTTTTCAATACTAATTAGTGTTTATAATATTTTATATGCAAACAACTCTCGTTTGTTGTTTATTTCACTTGTTCGTCTATAATCGTATTTGACTGCGCAGTATACATATGTACATATACACCTGGTGTCGCAGTTATAAGCGCATATTGACAACTTTTAACAATTTATTTTTTTAATTTAATTTTAGTTAATTTTTCTTTTTTTTTTTCTCTAACAAAAACCGTATAAATCCAAGTTTAAAACTTTGTGCGAAAATAAAATAACAATCAAAAATTTCCAGCTTTAATTAGATTTCTTAGAAAGATTTTGAGTATGCAGTTTAATTACCCATTAAATTTTAGTATCATAAAGTAGCTAAGACTCGCCGTTGATTTCTGACAATTTTTTTTTTTTTTGTTGTTGAAAATGTTGCTCATTTTCTTCCACATAAAAAGGTCGTCGAATAACAAAAAAAAAACTTGTTCAAACTTGTCAATATGCGCTTATATTTATGACGCGGTGAGTATAAGTGCATAATTTATTTCCAAAAACCTTTCACCAATGCATTTGAATTTTTGGAGCTTAACTTTGTAAATATTTATGATTTGAAATTGTGTTAATTGAAATTCCAATGGCTGACAAATATGTTTAGTTCATTGTTCTTATCTCTCAAGCTGTTAAAAAATTATTTGAATTTAATATTGGCATTTTTAACCTTTCTAAAATTTTACTTTCATTTAGTTTTAAACTGCAAGGCGAATACATAAAAGTTTTAAGGGGCAATTATTTAATTTGCAATTAGCAATTATTAAGCTTAAAAAATCTTTAATTGCATTTTTGGTCGCATTACTTTTCATACATATTTACTTGCAGCCAATATTTTCGGATTTTATTTTCAAAAAATAAATAAAAAAAACTATCCTTCCCAATTTTAAATTTTTTGATATGATTCATTTCTCATTTAATTTTGTTTCACATTCTGAAGTGCAGAACAAAGAAAAATTGGTTTAAAGTAAACAAAAGTGTGGTTAATATCAGCAAATCATTGTAGAAAATATCAACAATGGCATTGTTTGTATTAAACAAAAATCACTTTGATTTCTTTTCAAGTTTGAATTTGGTAATATTAACAAATTTTTAGTTAATTTTTTTCTCAGTGTTTAAATACATACACATTTTCGAATTTTATACTTACCTAAAAAAATCATTCCTACAATATAATTTCGATTCTCTACTAAAGCATTTTTCCGTTAACGGTTGAAGGCATTCACAGCAGCGTACGCAGGATGCATGCCATCCGCGTTCGAGGACATTTAATAAAAATTTATCTAATATTGGTTTATTGCAACCCGCACACGGATCACCAACACCAACGGGCGGTTCACTGCGTCCTGAAAATATAAATGAAAGCAGAAATATTTGCATAAATTATTAAAATGAATGATGTAACTATTTATTAATAATATCAAATAGTTTAAAATTCGAAAGGTATATGCAATTAAAAGGAGGAAACTCTAAACAAAATTTATTTTTGAATTCCCTAATCACAGCTTCCCAGCTAAACGCAGCAACACGCCTGCATAAGTAATTTACTTCGGTTAATAGCTTTAAATTCTTAAATCTTTGCCTTAAATCATAAATCTTTAATGAGATTTTGCACTCAAAAACATTTAAATGCCAGACTTTTACTGTTGAATGATGTTGAATTCGCAAAGTTTGCTGCTATAATATTAACTAACAGACAGCTACATACATATGTACATACTACTTGGGGCCTACGTATGAATGATGAACTTCTACCCACGGTCCATACGCCACCCTACGCCACCTATACACATTAGGGTGGTACAAAAATACATCCGGGGGGGGGTTCTTTATTTTAAAATGTTAAGCGCTCACCGTCTATGATTTTTCTAAATGGAAAAAAGGATTCCCGTATTTTTTTTATTTAAAAAAATAATATTTAGAACTGCCTCATAGCCCATGAAGATTTACTTTAGGTCCTTCAAAAACCCCAAAAAAATGCAATGGGGGACCCATGTAAAATATTTAAAATTAGAGAATGGTAAAATAAACAATTTGGTATTATTTTTGGCAGTCTTCTGAGGAGAAACAGAGTTTTCCGTTCAAAAAGTATGTATTTTCAAGGAGCCTGTACCTTTTCTACTAAAAAAGTTCCTATATATATATTTCATTTCGATAAAAAAAAATTTTACCACCCTAATGCACATACATACTTCCATACATATGTACATATGTATGTATGTACATGCGCAATTCAACAAACTATTAACAGAAGATTCTCATGCCTGGCTGTTCGCCACAAAGCCATTTAAAAGTCGGTCCCATGTGCATGTGTGTGTGTGTGTGTGTTGGAAATAAGTGAAGCGAGTGAGCATTTAAAATCCGTTTTACGTTTTGAGGGCAAATTTAGCAGCACCTAAACTCATTAAGTTTGCACAATTCAACTAATTCCGCATGCAACGCCATGCACAAACAATCAAATAAAGTTCACACGCGCACACACGCACACTCTCCATAGTGGACACATGCACATTAAAAACAAAAGGGCGCATGTACTCCCATATATAGTACATCATATATGTATGTATGCGAAAAAACAAAAACCGAAAATGCTAAAAATTAGACGAGCAGTAAAATGCGCAAATGTTGTGATGTCAAAACAACATCATTAACACCACCAATAAGTAGCAACAGCAAAAACTATGCAGGTGCAAATGCGTGGTTGTGTGTGTCCTTCTCCATATACATACTTATTTGTTTGCGGCTCTCTTTTGACTTTGTATCGCACGCACGCATGCGCCGCATACTTACTAATTAAAGTGCCCAACTTACGACTTAATAGCCACCTGCAGTGGCTGATCTCTTTGCTGAAAACACCTTTTTTTGCGTACTACCATTTTTTTTGTTTTGATTTTGATTTTAGTTTTGGGGGTTTTGTTTGCTTTGCCATCATTAAATACGCAAATTTTTGGCTTTTCACTACGTACATATGTATGTATGTATGTATGTATGCTTGCATGTGTGCTTTAGTTCGCTTTTTCCACACTTTTTCAAGTTGATAATTGCTTTGCATGCACGCAAAATGAGGACGTAGATACTACTTGCAACATTTTAACCCTGCTGCCCGATGGCACGCGTTTATACGTATGTACGTATGTAGGTAGGAGTGACGCTTGGGCGTTCTGGACAAACGTTTAATTTGCCTCAAAGGCAAATGGTCTGTTAAATGGTCAAGGCGGTGATAAGCATATTAGTTAGTGTTGAAGGATAATCATATTGAATTGAGGCAAATTTAGCTTGAAATAATTTGGTTGTAGAGCTGATTGCGGCGGGTTGTTTTTTAGCTTCTATAGTATTTGAAAAGTTTAGGGAATTGAAATGTGAATGGGTCTGTGTTTAAGTTAGTTTAGCTACAGTGGTAGTAGTTGGTTGATGGAAAGTACCTACTTAGTTAGTTTATAAGTTGAATAATTGGCTCAGTGGCGGACCCAGGTAGGGGAAATTGGGGAAATTGAAATCGAATCAGAAATAGTCATTCAAAAGCTCATCAATCTACAAAATCGTATTTTCTGACCTAAATCGACAGGTGGCGACTTCTAAATTACCTTTAAAAATCTATAAAATAGGCAACAATATTTTTCATAAAACTAATAAAAATAGGGGGTAGAGTCTTGAAATTTCCAAAAAAAAGAAGCATTTCCGATCCGCACCCTAATGTACATATTTACATACATATGTATGTAAATAAATCAGAGAGGTATCACAACGGATTCTTTGCCTTACTTGTTCGAAAATTACATCGACAGTTTCATTAGTACCTTTATCGATTTTTCTAATGATCTCATTATTTTTGATCTCGACCGAAGCCATTATCATGTGACATATCGATTTAATTATCGATATATGTAAGTAGTTATCGTTATCATTATCGATATACATACGTGGGTATTTATTATTATCATTGTCAATATGTATATGTGAATTTATCGATAACATTCCATATTTATTTATCGATATCATTCTTTACTTTTTATCGATATACATTTATCGTTGTCACTTAAAATTTGTATTGATAAATCAGTAGATGTTTCTTTCGTCATTTTTAGCGATATCTATTGTGGACAAGTTGCTCCGGTTATCGATAACATTATAAGCGTAACTCGATTCTGCATTTAATTTCTTTTTCGTAACCGTAGTCTCATTTGTGGCTTTGGTTTTATATATAACTTAATTACGGATGCTAAAATTTCAACTGGCAACACAACATTAATGATAGAGTAAAATTTTACACTTCCATATTTTCAAAACTGCGTTTTTTAGTGAATTCAGAAAAGCGAAAAAATCGCATTTCAAAAAAAAAATGTTCGAGTTTTAACTCGCGAACCCTAAAAATAAAATATGTTTCCTTTTGTCTAAAAAATTTGCGAGAACTAAAGGTGATTATTTTTCTTTGTGTAAATGGCTTTATTGAAAGCATTCTAATTGTGACTTCCAGCGTACATTTGTTTTGCTATTCAACCATCGAAAGTCCGCACGTGTGTCCTTTCAAATGGCTGTGAAGGAACCAAAACAGGTGTGTTGGGATAGGATGAGAAGAAATGCTATTTTCATGTGGCACGCACACAAAATGTGGCATACATTGCGTGCCTAAGCATAACGGATACATACATTTATTTATACATTGAGTAAGGATATAAAAGCTCATGATTTTCTTTGTTTTTTGTTTTTTTTTTCTTGTGCACTAAAGTACCGCTGCTTTGGCTTTTAACACCTGTGTTTTGCCACACACATTCAAAACGATTTTCAAAGCTTTTTACTACGCCTACATATTCACCGTTATTAGGTGTAAATGAATAAAGGTGGGCTGTGAATGGGTTGTTTGTTTATGCATACATATATATGTACAAGCATAAAAATAACTACGTTAACTTAAGCGCTTCTGCACATTTACACCTTTTCAAACACACACACACATACACACACACACTGAAAAACATATGTATGTATGTATATATGTTTACATATCTTTGAATTGAAATTTACCCTTCAGGCAGTGAAATAAACGAAATTCGATACAAAACCGTGAATGAATAAAAAATAAAGCAGACCTTAAATAAATAAACAAATGAATACTCGTTCAAGTACATTGAAAGCTGAAGCCACCAGCTACTCGCGTACATACAAATACAAAGCTCCCAAAGAGGCAAAGGAGGAGCAGCCGAACCGAAGCGCAACTCAAACTAAGTAGCCAGCCAGCCAGCCGGTGGTGTGGCGTCGTAGGGCGGAGGAGTCACCAGCCAGCTAGCCAGCCAGCCAGCAGACATGCATATCATCAGGCAACGCTCATTTGCGTTCTTGTTTCGTTTCGTATTCGTTTTGGTTTTAGCTTAGGTTTTTCGAAAGGTGGAGCTCATTCCCAACCCCAAAAGTGCAACCGAATAATGATACGGTTTCAGTTTCGGTTACGGTTAGAGGCTTGCTGAAGTTGAATTTGAATTGCGATGTGAAGGGGTGTGGTGTGTTGTGGCGTTCGTTGCGCCAACAAATAGCCAGAGGGTAGTTTGCTTCGTCGGTTGGAGCGTTTATAAAGTCGTTACAAACACACACACACAAGCATATTATATCTTTTGATAAGTTCTTTCCAAGGCAAGGTAGAGTCGGGTAGAAGATTTTGAAAAAAAAAACAAAAAAAAAAACAATGAGAAAAGTGTTTTAAGTTAAAACTAAAGTCCAGCAGTTGAATGCCAGTAGTTCGAAGAAAGAAGGTGAAAAGAAAAGGAGGACCGCACAAAATAGCCCTGCAGGCTAGCGTTGAAACCGCAAATGCGGCAAGACTGGATAGCAGTAGCCGTAGCCGCAGCCGCAAAGCAAACAGTTTAAATGCAGCGAACTGAGCAAAACTGGAGCAAAAGTGCAGAATATTTTAAAACTAGATGCAGTGCGAAATTTGAAAATGTGTATAGATAACCACCTGCCTACATACATGCATACATATGTGTGTAAGAATGAATGTACATTAGGCTGCAACACCAAAAAAAGTTGAGGTTTTTCCCCTGGTATTACAAAATCTATTACATTTGGAGACGTTCAGCAAAATATTTTGGAAAAATATTAAGATCTAC